CGACTCATCCTAACAAAACTGTGCATATTTTGATGGTGTTCTGGATGATATTTGACGTTTCGTAGCAACACTTGCTTACAACCGGAATGCTGAATGCTTTCAGGTGTTCATTAGTAATAATCGATGTTGATTAAATGACATGCAAACTAAAATTGTGAATGCAATCGCTCATAGTCAGTGTAAGCAACCGACCATTTTCAGGAAGTTCACTTGAGCGTAACCGTTCGAGACTCGCAATTGCCTCAGGACTAGCAGCTTTTGTAGAGTCCGGAAATAGCATTTCCCAGCTTAAACCTAATGTTGAATGCTAAATGGTTTCAACGATGTTGATTAAATGACATGCAAACTAAAATTGTGAATGCAACCGCTCAGTGTAAGCAACCGACCATTTTCAGGAAGTTCACGTGAGCGTAATCGTTCGAGACTCGCAATTGCCTCAGGGCTAGCAGCTTTTGTAGAGTCCGGAAATAGCATTTCCCAGCTTAAACCTAACTGCTCGCTCCATCCGCCTTCCACTATCAACCTTCAAGTTCACATTTTTCTATAATTCGAACATGGTCAAGAAGAAGTCATATTAAGAATATAGCTTCACGTCAGTGAATTATAGCAAGTAAAATTCACCACAACCACTGAACTTAAGTATCGACTTTTGATTCTTTCCCAATTCATTTTTAAAAATACAACGGTAATGTTGAACACGATGGTGTTAAACCGAGGAAATATTTCAGAATGATTCAACTAATTGTGTTTACTTCATTGAGCCATTATGAAATTGAAGTAGGCAAAGAGCAGAATAAATAAAACATCACTGATCCACCTTGCTATTGCCAACGAATCGTTTCTGATATCCTCATCTCGAGAATGTTCAGCAAAATAATCACTCATCGCGAACTAAATTTCAAACATTTCAAATCATTTATTGCCGATATGAAATCGATTTCGAAGAAGTTTCATAATTGACCATTTGAGCAAATTCCTTCGAATTATTTTACGTAAACCGATCAGAAACAAAAAATCGCTGGGAGCGCTTCCTACATCATTGTAACTGTCTAAATTATTTTAAACAAAGAGCTGTGAAAATATAATAATATGACAGGATAATTCAACCATGAAGTAATTTCAAATGAAATTTAGTGATAATATTTATCTTTCTAACAGAAACAATGACATCAAAACAATGATCCAAATAAATCATCCGGCAAAGTAATATCTACACAAATTAACGATTGTAAATATCAGATTCACAAAAATGATACGGTAAACATCGTACGTCCGGTAAAATAACAAATAATAACAACAACAACATTTTAAACGATAATAATATGCCTTCACCAGCACTATTATTATTGTATGCACTAATACCCGTCCTTTTTTTTCAATTAACCAGCACTGAAGAAAGAGAAAAATTCTATTGGTTTGTGATAACCAATTTTTTGGTAAATGGAATCATTTTTGAATGTAACAACTGGAATATCATTTGAATCATACGAAAAAGTGTAACATTTTGCGTAGCGTTTATTACCATCATTTATTAATTACTCAATTTTGAACAGTGATACAAGCAAGGATGGAAAAAGAAGAAACAAAAAACATTGATGAGAGGAATAAGAAGAATGAAGTCATGAACCCAAACACTTATAAGTGATGATATCGCCTCGTTTAGAGATAACACAAGCGATGTCATCCAAAAGTTTTTGTGCGTGACAATCGTTCGTTACTGCAACAGTTGATGATGCCTTCATTCCGTCATTGATCAGTTTCGATATTTCCGATAACAAGAAGCTTATGTCATCATTAATCTGCGGGAATATGTCCATTATCTGTGACAACGACGGTATCAGCAGCGACAGATACGCGAGTGCTTCATCAAATGGCAAAATGCGACCTATGGTCCATATCAAATTCAACAGCAAATCTATGCGGATGTACCACTGTTCGATTCGATACTAAATATAAACGCATTAGTGATTCGTTTTCATTCATGGTCACATTATCATTTGGAAAAACTTCATGATCAACCTTACAAAATACATCACAAAATTATAAGAGAATAAAAAAACGAGAATAAGGCAAGAACCGAAACTGCGACCCTTGGATGCATCACAGTAATGGATAAATAATCAGTCGAATGGATGAAACAATTAAAAAATGAAATTGCTTAAAACTATGTGATAATTAATAACTCGCCTGTTTAGCAAGCTCAATGATCAAGAGAGTAGCGAAGAGGCGTTTGGTGAGATCTCTCAATGCCAATATATCATGAACAAAGTCAAGGCAAGCATGCATCGACGGTATTAAACGAACTGTCATTGAGATCATTGATAATGGATATCCCTGAGCAACGTTATTCATTAACAGATTCAAATTCAGTTCCAATGCGAAATAATCAACTATGCGTAATATCACACTAAAAATTGACACAAAACCACAAAACAAAAGATTATAAATAAACCAACTTGAAAATGAACGAGTTTCAACAAGGAAGTATCAGCGATGAACATTTGATGGATGTGGTCACATGCTAGTTTCTTCACTTTATCATCGCCAAACTCGCAACAAACTTCCAATAGCATCTGTACCAACTCTGAATCTTGTGCTCCGAACAACGATTTTGCCAACTCCTCACGTTCAGCTCGTGTATCTTGTCTTAAATTCATTATCCAATTTCAACTATTCGCTTACTCACTGCTCTTTTTTAACAACGAAAAATGTCAAGTTATGAGCTTATTCCGCATCTGCATACTTCTAACAGTCAGGCGATGGGAAGTCAACGAACGCTATTGATAAAACGTTTTGGACATCATTCGAACGTCGAATCACTTAATCAATTATGTAAGAAATGAGTTAGACTCTAGAAAGAACTTGAACAAATTCAGTTTGAATAAACAATTGAAGGATGAACATTCCGAAAAATAACCTATTGTTATTGGCATTTGATGATGGAACATTTAAAATTTTATGACATTTGTGCATTAGAATATGACGACTGGCTGACTGATAGAAGGAAAGGATCCGTAAAAAACACGAAAATAATGGTGCATTTCGAAAGACGTAATCGTTTGACTCGTAGAGCAACATCGGCTGCATGCATAACATCTCATGTGTTATCCTCAAACCACTCAACGCTTGTACTGTTTCCTGCAAATCATTCGATCGTTCTCAACCAAACATTTAGCAGTTCGACTAGAACGTTGAATGAAACGATCAAGTGGATTATCCAACAATGAGACACATGTTTGTACAATCGCAAAATTTAAACAGCTTATGCACTCGGTTTTTTACGGCCACAAGAATAATTTTCAACGATCAACTCATACGAAAGCATTAAAGGAATTATTTTTTGTAAGTAAAAATAACAACTAAAATCACGATGAGTTTAGGTATTGTGAAAGTGAACAAAAAAGAATAAATGATTATGATAACCTCCACGAATTGAACCGTTTCAATATTCTCGATTCGCATCCAAATATAAATGAGCGATTTAATGAACGGATCTGACATATTCTGTTTATCAACAACCATATTCATTGTTTTCAATACAAAATTGCGCAAATGAATTTGTTTCTGCAAACGACTCCACTCGAATTGTTCAATTAACGCCAAACTTTTCATTGGACATTTCATTTCCAATTCCATTTCACAGGTCGCATTCACTTCACCGATACCATCAGTCCTGATTTTATTCAATTAATAAATTTGTATGATAACATTCCCCAGTTAAATCAATCACATGCTGTCCAATACACACACCAAACGAGCATGGTTTAGGTGCAAGCTGGAAGGAACGTTGAGAAAGAAGTTTGTTAATGTCACGGAAACTGTGATCATATATAACCACTGACGTGAACGTGAACGGTTAAATGCCAACAATCCGAGAAGAAACAAATACGATTTCAAATGTTTACAAACTCAAAAATGATAAATTGAACACAAAATTTAGACAACAACTAAAATTTCAGCCTAAAATCAGCGGAATACAAATGAAGGGAACTAACTTGAATGAACTGGATCTCAAATCACTGTTGATATCGTAGAGGAACGAATTTGCGTTTGGTAACATATAAGCATAAAAATGAGAAACAACTTTCAATAACTGTGGTCGCAATTCATGAAAATCATCCGGTCGTGCATTCATCACACCAATCATATATCGGATTGGGAGTCGGCATTCGAATTCTTCTCTGCAATCGCTCTCGACTATTTTGATTATTGTGTAAAAATGCGATTTGGTTGCAGTAAGTGGATTCAGTTTTTGCAAATTTGCAACAGAAAAGTAGAATTGATGACACACAAAGAGTAGTAGAATGAGAAATAAATAGATAAAAAACGGGTTGTCCAATTGAGAAAATA